TGGCGGACTTAGAAGGCTGTCGGACGATTGCGAATCTGCATCAACTGAAAAACTGGGAAGCGAATGTAGTTTAGTTTGAACGCTCTGTGTAATAGATAGATTAGGTGACAGCGAGTCTGAGAATAGTTGTATTTGTTCTGAAGTGTGAGATGTCTCGTATGATATTGGAGATTCGATTGAAAAAATATCACGAAATTCGGTGAGAATAGCATCATTAGAAAGCTTGTCTGGAGTAGATTCAGAATATGTAGGTATATCCATGTAAAAAGGCTCCTGCAAAAAAACGAAAAAATTTCTCCGACGCGGGGAGTCGAACCCCGCTCCCGTGGATGAAAACCACGTATCCTAACCGATGAACGACGTCGGATTTCTGTTCCGCCATCAAATAATTTGTATTCTAAAAGTATTATACGTTTGAGATATCAAAATCAATCAAATTCTAGATTCACTATTATTTTCAAAATTTTTTCATTTCCTTGATGTTATCTAAATCGATTGAAAATACCGCAGTGTTTGTTTCAAACCTTTCATATAGCCTCACTAAGAAAGACATATCCGAGTTTTTCTCACGCGCAGGAGATATTGTTGATATTACTTTTTATTTTTCAAAATCTAGACAGTCAATCGTTCCTGGCCATTGCATCATCCAATTTAAGGATGAGTAAAGCGCCTCGAATGCCAAAAGGAAGAACGGAATGTGCCTCCTTGGCCGACCAATATTTGTCGCCGAGAAAATAATTTATCAGCCCTCAATCATGAATGAGAGATGGCAAAGGTACGTCCAGCCGCAGTGGTTCTTGACACTCAGGAAGCAGCAAAATCTTCATCAGAATAGTGGATATTTGCTGAGTGATGAATTTAATCATGATAAGAAAGACTCAACATTTTCACAAGTTTCACTGAAAGATGAATCTCAACCATCTTTCCCACCTTTACTTGATGTTTTACTACAACAAGTAGTTTCAGTGTGATTTTCACTATAATTTAGATGTATTTCCATTTTATAACGTTTTATGTTCCCTTATCATGATTTATTTTTCATGAAGTTGATGTTTTAACACTGACTTAAGTGTTTATATTCACAGTTTACGACGAAACTGTTTTTTATAGAGTTTTTATCACAGCTTTGACATTTTTTTGTTTTTTAATCACGTTTGTATTTTATGAAAATGAAATGTTTATATAAACATTTCATTTTCATATTTTAGCCTTTTTGATGCATCACCACTTCCCTTTCTGTTGTTTTGAAACTATCCGTTTCTCTTTTTTTCATTCACAAATGTTCTCTTTTTAAGGCTTGAGTTCAATTGTACCCATTGAGAAATTCACACAAAGCCACTCATTCATATTATTTTATCTGCAACTCATTAGTCTTAATTGGTTAGTCTTGATTAATTAATCTTGATTTATTAGTCTTAGTAGATTAGGCTTAATTTAGTATTTCACCTTTAACTCATTAGTTTTTCTTCTTCTGAAAATTCCTTTCGCATGGCTTTAAGAGGATTGTATGTTCTAAGTATTGTATACAGGAGTGATCTATAATCTATTTACTCGTTTATTTTTTTTCCTTTTTGGAGAGAGGGTAGATGATGGGCGCTTTTACCCATTCAATGAGAGTGGTGAAAAATTCCACCACCAAAAGTGAAAACCAGTTTTATGATATAAAAGTTTTCATTTGAATTTCCTCATGATAGATAATTATAAATTACAATGTAAAAAATCATGAAATAAATATGAGTGGGTACATGCATCTTCTGATTACAATTTGATCACATGATTCCAATTTTGGCGATTTATTTATATGCTACGGTTTTGGCGAATTTTTTGAAAGACTGGCCTCCAAGAAGTTTTTCAATTTTTATATATTATTTTCATCATTGATTTGTTGGGCCAAATTACGTTCCAACCATTAATACATCTCCACCTATAACTTTTTATAGGTAGAAATCTGATTTTGGGAGTTCTTTACCAGATGATCGCTCAACGTTTTAATTGCTCTTCTGAATTTAGGCAGTAATAATTATCCACTTTTTCAAATAGATTTTCAAGTTATTTAATCTTTTTGAAAGTTTATGGTCATTGAGTAATCAATATTTCTATACTCACTCAACGCTCAGCTTTGAAAATAAACTTTATTTAATGGGACAAATATAATATTCTTAATGATGGGAAAAAAATGAAAAAATATCGTAACCTACTGCTATAGTTCTACTCTTTCATGAATAGCTAAGAAAAAGAGAAATAGATAGATACTATTTTTCATTTTTTTACATATTGCTACACTATTCGGTGATGAACTGTTTCGTGAAAAATCGTAATCGAATGACGAAAAACAATAATTATCTCAGAAAAACGACTTTTTTGCGTTCAATGATTTCACAAAACTCATCAATTTTTTTCTATAAAAGAGATCAAACTCCCCACAAAAAAATGTCTTTATTACCTCACAATTTTCTAAATATACAAAAAGTGAGAAATATTCTCAATATTATACGCAAAAAGTTTCTAATTCCTGGTAATCATCTCAAGAAAAGTGATATCATTGAACAATTTGAATTGCAAACTTTTCAATAATTCACTTGTGAATCTGAAAAAGTTGACCATTCTTTAGCGTTTGAGATAAAAAAATACAACATCACTAAATGCACAAACGATCTTCAATTTCGCTCAGCCCCAAAGGCTTACAAAACATCAATGCCACAGAAGATGAATTTACGTTCGTCATAGGCAACGATCAATATCACGTTCCAGCTGCTCTCGCCGAATTTATATCTCCAACTGTATCAAAGCTCAGAAAGCTTGACAAATCCACATCCACCTTCACCATCCCAATTGAAGATGAATGTGGTCGCTTCAGGCACATCTTAAAGCTCATGAAAGGCTCGCCAATAGAAATTACCTCAATCGATGCTCAAATGCTTCGCTACTTCGCCGAAAAGCTCGGAAACGGCGAACTTTATGAAAACTTGTCACATTTACAATGCACAGAGCTCAATAAAGACACAGTTGTAGAGATATTATTAAGCAAATATCGAATCAATCTTCCATACGATAAAGAGCTTCAATACATCGCCTACCACTTTTCTGAGATCCCAATCGACCATCGGATGAGAATTCCTTTGACAGCCTTAGAATTAATTATTTCATGCGCAGAATTAAAAGTGCAGACTGAAGACGACCTATTTAATTTTATTAATCAGCTTGTCAAACATAACGGAAAATCATATCGTATACTTTACCAATATGTTTTATTCGAATATTTGGATGAGCAATCTGTTGCTCAGTTCGTTGAAGAGACCAACCCGAGCGACATCAATACAGCCGTTTGGGCAGCCATCGGGCGCCGCCTTCGCATGAAAGTGAATCCATCCCTGCTCGAGAAAGAGGAGCGGTTTTCAAAGGGAACAATTCCATTTATCGGCAACCCGTTTGATGGTATTGTCAAATACCTCAGAAAAGAAAGTGGCCAAAATCCGCACACAAATGGTCAAATTAAAATCACCTACCAAGGAGGTAATCCATATTGTGAAAAACTCTTCGATTTCGATTGGAAATGCTATTGGTCGTCTACAAATTCTCCTGGACAGTGGCTTTCCTTCGACTTCACTAAAAATTACATTTATTTGACTGATTACACACTGAAAACACCAAACAGCAGTCCTGGATGGAACCACTTGAAGAGCTGGGTGATTGAAGGCTCTATCGATGGAATTGAGTGGGTTGAAATGGATTCCCGAAATGATAATTTCGATTTGAATGGAAACAGCAAAATTGCAACTTATCATTGCCAAAACCCACATAAAGTAAGACTGATTCGTCTTAGACAAACCGGAAAGAATCATAGAAATGCTGATGATATCCAATTAACAAACATCGAATTCTTTGGAAGAGTAACTGATGCAGAAGATATTCAATTAGAACATCAAACAGTTGATGCTGTTGCTGCTGCTACTAATACTACTAATTCTGCACCTGCTGTCGTTGAAGCTGTACCTGAAGCTGCACCAGCTTCTGTTCACGCTGATTAGAAATGAAAATGAACATTTTGGACAACCTCAAAAAAATTAGAGTGTATCATTTTATAAAGAACATAAAATGATATCGGGCGGAAAATAATAAAATAATATTACTTATCATTAAAAATAATAATACTTATGAATATTATTTCTCTATTTTTGTTCATTAAAAAAAAATCCATTTTTTATCGATGAATTCTCATTAGATTTTATTACAACATTCTAGAATCATTTTGTATTGAACCTACGACTTTAATCTAGTAAAGAAAATGATTTCCTAGTGCTTTTTTATATGCACATAAATAGAATGATATAAAGTAAATCGAAAATAAATTCCTATAAAATGAATGGAAAAATACTGTTCCTTATAAATATTTATTTAGGGGATTGGAGCATCAGCTGGTGGATCAGCAGACTGTTGGCTATTATCAGTTGGCTGTCCTTCAGTAGGCAATGGTTGTTGTTCTGAAGGAGGCTGCTGCTGTTGTTCCTGTGGTGGTTGATATTGTGGTGGGTAGCCAGGATGATAAACGGTGTTCATTGGATATCCTTGTGGTGGCTGGTATGGATAGCCAACACCAACGTTTGGATAACCTGCAATTTTTCCATTTTGATCTGCCGCTCCGTATCCACCTCCTTGACCATTTAACGCAGTCTTCTGTTGTGTTTCATCTCCTTCTCCACCAACCTTAGACTTTGAAAAGTGTTTATATGCAAAGAAGCCAACAACAGCAAGAATTGCAACTAATGCAATGACACCGATGACAATACCAGCAATTGCACCTCCACTTAAGCCACTACCCTTTTTCTCATATTTGTACATTTCCTCTTGTTTGACTTTGACGGCACAATCCTTTGTATCAACATCATATAGAGTGCTGGTGGTGGTTAATGTAACTGATGGCTTTTCGACAGAATCCCATGCGCCTGGTGTGTCTGACTCTGTAGTAATTTTAATGGTCTCTTTAGTCATACCATCACCAGGATATCCTGGATAATCATAAAGAAGTTTTGCTGATCCTGGATTAGAACCAATAGTAACTTGACCAACTGTGATATTGACATTTCCTAATGTTGTAACTGAGGAATCAGCGATGAAAAGATTAAAATTGAGAGTGATTGTAATAATATTGAATGTCTTAGCCCAATTATAAGGAATTCCACCAGCAAGCAAATTTTGATATGTGGAGGATCTGTAATAAAATACATTCCATTGATTATTCTCAAACTGAATCCTGATAGTGCTCTCAACCTCTAAATACATTACAGAAATTTGTTGAACTTGCACAAATTGAGAATCTCCTTCCATATTAGAATAATAGAGATTATTAAAAACGCCGGATGTAACTAT